CTGTCTCTTATACACATCTCCCCCCCCCCGGGGTTGATGTGGAATTGATTTTGATTGGGCAGGCGTTATTCACGGTGTACGATGGGCACGGGAAGGAGGGCGACCTCTGCGCGGCGTTCTGCAAGGACACCCTGCCGGGGGTGCTGAGCCAGGAGTTGCGGGAAAGCAGGACAGTCGAGGATGGCTTGAAAAGGGCCTTCAATCGGACCAACGAGCAGGTTAGTGTTGTGGGAACGAAAGAGCATCCTCGATCTTGATGGTGGTGATGAGCGCCCCACGAGAGCAATTTGGGTTGGGATGACCGTAGTTGCAGGTGATCGCTGCAAGTTTGTTGTGTTTGTTCCGGAGGTCGGGAAGATGAATCTGCCGAAGACGGCCTTGAAGTTGAGCCGCACCAGTATGACAGCGCACAAGTGGACCAGCTGAAACCTGTCGAGATGTGTTTTCGGCACTCCCTCATTCCGCCTGAGAGTCTTCTCACCCTTTTCGGGATAGCATCCCGTAGCTGTTGCTATCATTTCGTGTTTTGACAATTTCACCGGCATCGCAACATTACACTCTCTGTCGCGCAACCACGGCCGGTGGGCTTGTGCTTCATGCCACCCGTGCGAAGCACACGCGACGCGGTGGTACAGAACCGTATGCAGAGTCCGTGCGATAAAAATGCCGTCTCTGGTGTTGATGAGCCGACGCGTACGTGCTGCTTTGCAGTTACACCGCAACCAGAACGTGGACGATGCTCTGTCGGGCACAACAGCCGTGGCCTTGTACCTGGAGGGGAGGGACATGTGGGTGGCGAACGTAGGGGACAGCCGTGCCATCGTGGTGCAGGAGCACGAGGGGAATCTGGTGGCGAGACCGCTGTCGAGCGACCAGACGCCGTATCGAAAGGTACAGAAGCGGACCCGAGAGGGGCGTGTTTGTTGCGTTGATTGTCGACTGGCCAGATATGCCAGATATGTCGTTCGTTTGGTCAAATGGAATTCGAGCCATGTTGATACGACAGTATTGGTTGGGGTCCCGGTACGGTGCCTTGGTGTCTCGAGAGAGTGTCTCGAGAGAGCTTGGCACACAGGAGGTGGCCTCGAGACCGCGCCTTCGAGCAACCGTGATAAAAACTGCTGCAAGTTGTGTTGGAAATACTCCCTAAGGATGCTGGATGTAGCGGTGATACCATGTTGATTTGCTTGGTCTAGAGATCATAGCCCGATATCCTTCGTTCGTGTTGCACTTACATTCTGGAGTGTCTTGTGGACGAGCGACGAGGTTATGGTGTAGTAGACACAAAGGAGACGGATTATCTCCTTTGCTCTCCTCCGTCAAGAGGCCGTTGATCACAAGCAGATAGATATCTCCGCGACCACTCGGCCGTCTACTTGAGTAGAGAAGAGTATTCTCCCGCGTCGTGGAAGACTTGACGGTTTTGCATGTGCTTCGCTGTTGCTCCGGCAGGACGAAAGAGAAAGAGTCAAGGCGGCCGGGGCTCGTGTGATGTCGATGGACCAGATCGAGGGGCTGGAGCCAATACACGAAAACTGGGGGGACGTTGACCTCGGTGAGTCACGTACTGCTGTACTGTGCCATATCACATCATTCATCACCGCCGTGGCCCCAACAAATGTACGGATATCGATAATGTATGATGCTGATGTGTTGCCGTCGGTGTTGGTCAGGGGTGGAGCTCGATGAGGGGGGTGACCCACCGAGGATCTGGAGTCCCTTCGGCGAGTATCCGGGTACGGCCTTCACGCGCAGCATGGGGGACGTGATCGCGGAGGAGCTCGGGGTCACGGCGGATCCGGAGATCATTCGACGAAGAATACACCCACATGACAAGTGAGAAGAATTGCCCAGCTCGTGCTCTAACTATTGCAGTATTATAGTACAAGCCGCTGACAGTGCTGAAGTACGCCTTACATTGAACTGCGAATGCCATAAATCCGTGAACGATCGATGTGCGCAGATATGGCGTCTGAGGTTTTGCTTTTCATCGTGGGAGATGTCTACGTGAAAGCATCTTGAAATTTGACGGCTGGCCTGGCTCAGAGAGAAACCGAGAGAGAAGAGAGAGAGATCATACATGGATGATTTGCCGCAGGTTGTGCGCCATTCCGAGGGTCAAACGGCTGGTGCTGGTCAGACGTGACACTGCCGTCAGCAGGCGAGGGAATTGTCCACCGAACAAGCTTCGCTTCGAAGAGTTTCAGTTGTTTTTTTTGCTTCCGGTGCACACAAGGAATGGATGAATGTCCGTTTGATGAAAAGGTACACACTTTGAAAGCTGTCGCGTGGTTGCACGCAGGCGACGGGGTTGACGAGATGGGTCTCTTCTGAAGGCCAGCCGTGCTGTGTTTCACCGATACGAAGCAACAAGGATACAGATCACCATCGAGACACGTAGGTTCTGTATCCGATATCTACAATTTCCTGCCCGTCCAACCCTCAGCGTTTGGTGACGGCATTAGCCGTGGGGGCCGGTTCCGTAGCAGGTGGGCGCTTCCTTAATTACGACTGGCCTTTGCTGCTGGTGCTGTTCATCTTGTCCTCGAGCCAACAACCGCACTCACCATCCTCGTTCTCCTCTGTCCTCTGTCCTCTCGACTCAGGTTTCTCGTGATCGCGAGTGATGGGGTGTTCGAGTTCCTTACCAACCAGAGCGTGGCAGACATGGTGTCCATGTATCCGGACCCGTTGGATGCGTGTAAGAAGGTGGTCCAGGAATCGTACGACCTGTGGCTGCAGTACGAGGTTCGGACGGACGACATCACCATCATCTGCATCTACATCGGTGGGTGTCGCGTTGGCTCGTGCGCGTCGACGGTTACACTTCTCACCCTACGGCCGACCCCTTTGGTACATAAAAATATCTCAGGCAGGAACCGCAGGAGGGGGTCCAACCCCCCCC